GATTAACACACGATGGAGTCTGGTGAGCTGCCTGGCTGCGGTTAGCATTTTCAGGTCGATCGTCTAAAAATACACATGCTAATTTTAGCTAAATATTTGCATTTGAGTTGATCCACTCTATGAGGTCGATTAAAACCTGCCGGCTGATTGTCACAATAAAACGTATTTTACTTACCGAGTTGTGCGTTCAGCGTGGCGCTAGGCTGAGACTCCGAGGATGAGGCAGTGGAGGAAGGACGACGCAGCACGTCGAAGACGGTGCACTTCGTTAATTCTACACCATGAAGCCGGAGGTGTTTAATCATATTAGTTGTGCACCCTCCTTTGCACGAAATAACTTTACCACAAGTGTTGCACTTAGCCGAGTGGTCGTTTATTTTAGTAAAGTTGAGCCACACTTGTGAACGCCGCCGAACACCTTCCATGTTTGCAAACGCCGCTCTGCGTAATGCGCGCACACGCTTCTTCTTCGTTGGTGTTTAGGCTACTTCCGGTTGGCGGAAGAATCGAAACAAGGAATCGAAGTTTTAGAAATTGAACGATTCCGGGAGAATCGGAATGTTAGTCCCGGTTCCAATCGATACTCGAGACTCGATGCCCAACCCTATCATCAACAGTCACTGCTGTAGAGGTTTCCCTCTTCAAAGTCGTTCTACATGTTCCTACAAAAGCTTGAATCAGCCTGAAAGTCAGCGAGTTCATCCACACAGCCGAGGTCTGTCACATGTAAATCCTTTAATCAAAGTGTGTCAGTATCAGCAGCGTGAGATGTCATTTCCTCTCAAACAAACGGGTGTGTAAAGACACACACACACAGTCTCACCGGATTGGTTGATCTGCAGGGGATGATGACGTTGCTCCTTTTTGCTTCCCTCTACAAACAGGAGAAAAAGTTTGGGAAGCCTTCACAAACAGTGTCTTGGCACCATGTTGGAGTGGACGTGACTTCCATCTTCCATTCTAACTGTTTTTTATTGTCCGTCTGTAGCTGAGCTGTTTCAGGTTCATTTCCTGCAGCTGTGTCAAACCAGCAGATACCTCAGAGTGTTACTCCAGAGTTTGTACTAACCTGGTTAATGTGTCACTATAACTGTGTTTAACATGCACAGCCTCTCTTTGCACCTTTTCTTCATCCAGTTGTAGATTTATTTTGCATTAAACTGAACGAAATTTTGATTTAAAGATCTTTTTCTTCCATAAAAAGACACTTCAAAGTGATTTGTTTTCACTTTGACACCATTGCGGGGGTTAGCAGCTAAAATTAAACTTTTCTCTCTTAATGTTTTGTGTGTTTTTGGTTTCCTTTTGAAGGGCTCCACTGCTGCTTACACTAAAAGTGGCTATTGTGTGAACCGTTTCCCCTCCTTGCTGCCCGGTGGGAACAGACACAACTCTGCCATGGGAAAAGGTAAGTGGGCCTGGTTTATTTAGACCACACAGGTTCACACTGATAGCCTGCTTCATTTAAAAAAATAGTGTTTTACAAACACCAGGCTCTCTCCCTCAAGTGTAAAATGATTTTATTTACTGTAAATAACGTTAAGAAAAGTTCAAGTGAGGCTTTCACAGGGAAATGTCCTACCCTCATTCTATCTGCTGGTCAAAGAGAACTAGCTTTCAACCTGGATAAATTAGTAAAACATGATCAAAGATTAGTTTTTCTTTACCTTTTTTCCTGGAGTTAGATGGTTTTCCTTTAAAGGGCCAATATTATGTGTTTCTCAGGCATATATTTAAATACTATACCATAATAAAATATCTATGTCACCTTTGGTTGTTTTTAAAAAACTGTTTTTATGTTTAAATAGAAAATAAACTTATCTTCTCATCACTTCCTCTTCTAAACGCCTTGAAATTGGTCTCTTGTCTCTTTACAAACCACCTTCACTTCTGTCTCGCCCATTTCGGTGTGGGGATGGGGTTGCGCTCGCGCGGGGGG